GAATAAGTCACACGGACCAATCAATTCTAAGATTTTGCGTACAGAGGCATTTGTTCCTTTTAAAGTATTGTTCGGGGGTGCTACACAAAGTCACAAGGATCGATCATCCAATCATATCCAAGATTTTGTACATCCACATCTGAATCGCATATAAACCATACACTTCGTTGTACGTTGTACAAACTCCGTTCCTGGTATACCCTATGTATTTCATACACCGTTCCTGGTATATTAAATTATATTATAATAATTACCATTAATTATTGTATAATTTTTAATAGAATTTATTAAAGATTATTCTCAAGTTTCGATTTAATCCAAAATTTAAATTTTATATAAATTATAATTTTAAATAATAGAAATTAATGTATTTCGGTTTTTAATCCATCTAAAATTTTCAATAGATTTAAATGCTTACAGAAACGAAAATAAAGAAAATTTGAACACAAATAATTTTGAACTTAAAGTATTCATAAATTTTAATGGTCTATTTTATAGAAATATACTTTTCTGGATCTTTCACAGGGTAAAACATAGATTTGTCCATGGGCATGTGACTGTAAAATTTTGTTGACACACCAGGGGTAGTTCTCGATTGGTGACTTTTGGATTTTGGCCCAAACCAAATAAACCAACTTCATCAGTATCGATATTCAATTCCATAACTTGCTTAAAAACTACATTGTATATATCGAACCGTCGCGCACTTGATTCATGTGATTTTTCATTCCATGTTTTTGTGAGCGATGGTTCATCTAAAAAGCATATATACTTTACATTTAGATTATACTTAAATTTATAGTCAAAGGCACTCGTTTTAGAGGTAGTATAAGATCCTTCGAGCATAGCATAATCTCTAATTAAGTTGGTTTGAAGTTGGAACACAACTCGTCTACTTTTTTCTTTCGCAGCTTCGAATGCGTAACTTTTTAATATTCAAAATTTTAAAATAAATTTAATAGAATTAAAATAATAATAAAAATTAAAAAAAATAACATGTTATGCATGCCTCATGAATGAGATAATTACATTCGCCAATACAATGACATAAAAAAACTACCAATTACGCTAATAATAACAAGGGGCCAAAAATCCCAAATATCAAATTGGATTGAATCCCAATTATACGTAGCAATTATAGCACTAAGTATATTTTTGATGTTTGGTCTAATGATATGTAGGATGGATGACTAAGAAGAATAAATCTGTGCATATCGTTATATATGTTAAATTATGTTTCTGAATTCATAAATAATTGACAAATAAAGAAATCTTACAGTGCATGCCCTTGATAATATAAAGAAAGTTATTAATTATGATTTAACTTGATAAAGTAACAAATTAAGAATTATAACTATCATTGCAATAATCATTATACAATAAATCAATAAAAATGATCTAATTGAAATAATAATATTTAAGATTATATAGAGATAGTTGGCAAATTCTAAATAAAAAAACAAATTTAGTTAGATAACGATAATTTAATGCTCAAAGAATATTAGAGTACCTGGATAAACGCGTAACAACAAAACCTACAGAATGATAAAATGAATTTTAATAATTTATTAATCTCATTCCACATTTCGATGGTAAAGGAAATATGTACAAACCAACTCACACCAGAGAAATATAATGCTCATGAAAATGATTAAAACAATTAATTGAGTAGATGTGGCATTTTTAAAGCCATTCTCTATATTAAAATTACCAAGAAAAAAATAAGAAGAGAGGATTGTAGGTAAAAAAGTGGCAATATTATCCATCCAGTTGAAATAATCTACGACATATTTCTTCCCATAAAACATAAATTGTTGCACCTCAATTACAAAATGATAATATGCCAAATAATAAAATAAGATTATAATCAGAGTCATTGGGATATGTAGAAAACCAGTAACCTCAATATGTGAAATGTATGCCCAGGAAATAATCGAATATGATAAAAGGTATATAAGATAAATTTGTAAAGCATAATTCCAATGAGATTTAGTAGAATACCACACCCAATTCATGACAGCTTCCATTGAGGGGTTATCATAAAATGTATCATCTACATCCATATTTATTAAGAGTCGAATAAAAGGGCTATAGTTTTTAGTTTCAAAAGATGAGTATTTTCCAGGCAAAAGAAATTTTGTAATAGCTTTCTGAAAATAATCCATTGGATCCAGGGTTTTTTTATTTATTGCAAAATCAATAAAAGGTACCATTCTAATGTAAGGAATTTCATCATCACTATAATTTTAATATAAGCTTAAATCACTTTGAACAGAATAAATGATTTTAAATTAGTAATAATAGTAATAAAAAACGTTACCTGATATATTTAAGGCCTAACTTTGTATCACGAGGAATGAGTTGCGTTATAGGAATATAAACTTTTAAAGAATTTTTGGAATTTTTCTTAATTTCATGAAGCTTGAAACTAGACAAATCTAACGTTTTGTTACCAAAACAAGGCTTATAAAGAAACTCTTGAGAAAATTACTTAATAAAATTGAAATTTAGCAAATATAAGAACAAACCAAGATTCTTTTCGTATAATAATGATATGATCTCAGACACGGCGTTCATCCACCCAATGTTATCCATCGCATTGTTTGAATAATATTCTAGGAAAAATGTAAGAATTGTCGTATCGATGTTCGTTTCTGAGTATAATAAGAAAGTTTAATATAACAAAATACATTAAGAACAACATATTTGTTACATATGGCAACCCCCACACCAAAAAGGTGCAATGAAGAATTTTAAATTTTGAACTTTAAATAAATATGTCTTGTAATTTAGTGATTAGAATAAATTAATTTTTATATAATTTAATAATTCATCTTAATAAGATGAATTAAATATTATAAAAATTAATTTTATTTTAATCACTAAATTACAAGATATATTTATTTAAAGATCAAATTTTAAAAATTCTTCATTGCACCCTTTTGCCGTGGGGATTCCCATATATCAATCATTGAATAACGATCATTGAGTAACAACATTGAATAACAATCATTAAATAACTAACCATCATCAGGTAAAATTTCTTCTAATGAAACTTGCCACGAATGAAGAGGACGCTTTTTAGTACTTTTATCACTTAAAGAGCGTCTTGAAATAATGTTTTTAATTTTTTTAAATTTAGTTTTAATGTTATGTTCGGTATTACTTTCGTTATCACTTATTGAGATCACAGAAAGGATTTGTGAAATACATTTTTCAGAACCATCAGTTGATTCATTTCTGTGACTAAAACAAAATACGGGTTATGAGTGAGAAATCTTTTAGAATAATAAATTTACTCATTAGTCTATAACGAAAATCTATTAGTCTCCAAGGATTCGAATATAAAGTAATAAATTTTGTAATAATATTCCGTGTTTGTTGAACTATATAGTTATATGCTATACGTTTACCACGTACAGCAAGATTAGCAGATTTACTTTTACTATCCAAATATATAAGCGCATCGATTGCACTTCTTACTATATAGATAATATCATCATCAAGTTCTATTTTTATCTGAATGTCTTTTCCTTCCTCTTTACTAATCAGAAGATCAAATTTGTTTACACCATATTTAATTTTGATAATTTTGAACTTCTCATAAGGTGCTTCTGGCTCAACGGGGTTATCATTGACAATGTGAATAAATTCGAGCTTTTCATCACACCAAGCTTGTATAGTATTGTATCTTATAAGGAGTCTTATTTTTTTATCTTTATCAAAATAGATAACATGTCTTGGAAGTGAAAGCCCTTTAAAATAAATATCATAATTATTAGTGTCCATGTCTTCTGCAGGATGATAAGCCCATGGTTCTACTCCATGATAATACTCAAGTTCCGATTTTTTCAAATCCAATAATAAAAAAATATCATCAATGCCATAAGCATTAGGTCTCGTGTTAGTGATGTTACTTTCAGAAGGAGTTAATTATCTCCAATCTGGATCAACACCCGTTCTTGTCAAATGGTCATTTATGTCTAATTTATCCCAAGCTATTTGATTTTCATCAATGTCAAAGAATGGCCTTATATTAAGGATCGTAAAATATTTATATTCTAAATTTTCTGATTTTTCTAATCTAGGTCCGATGACTATTCTCGTCATTTGCTTGGCTAATCCTGAAGACGTGTTTTTCTCCAAAGGTATGAAGTCGATAGATTCTCTAACAGAACTAAAAATATCCCAGATTGCTGCAGTCCTATCGGCTTTGAATATTAATAATTTTTCATCGTTCATGACAAATTTCATAAATTCCACATCAAACATTCCATTTTCACATGATAAAGATGATAATTCAAGACCATTTTCTAATAAATATATTTTAAGGTCATCTCCAGATACATATGCTAATAGCTTTTCATCATTAGATATCGTAAATACGCCTGGTTTTTCACGATCCAAAATTGATAAAACAAATTTATACCTTTTAAATACATTCACTAATTGATTAGTTTTTAAATAAAAAATTTCTATACTCCAATTTGGATCTCTCCCGGAAGCATCTAAGCATCTCAAAAGATATTTACGCACGATATCACTCGGTGGTACGATCATATACCTACTAATGTATTCACTACAATTAAACTTTAAAGCATTAATAATTCTTTCCGGATAATTCAATATTAAAACCTCATATTGAAATTTCATGTCATCTGATAAATATCGTAAATGATGTTTATATATTCCATTTCCTTTTAACAAAATAAGCGTAAATTCATCATCACAACAAATAAATTGGATTATTCCACCATGATTTATTTCTATACTACATTCTTTGGCTTTAAAATCTTTTCCAATCATCCACACTCTGGTATAACCGCACCTACTTATTTCTTCCAACGTTTGCATATCATCGTCACTTATGCGAGATAAAGCTAGCAATCTAAAATTTTCTTTATACTTATTTGATACAGCAATAGACAAACTTGAAAAAGCACTAGACTCCCTTAACAACCTTTGTTCTTATTCTTTAGTAAATGTAAGTGTTAATGTTTCAGAATGTGCTTCGGAAATATCCTTATTTCCCGCTTTATCGCTGCTAATGTTATACATTCGTATTATGATATCATCATAATTATCACCGACTGCTAGCGCTAAAAGCAAATTTTAATTAAAACGAAAATCTTATAGCTGATTAATAGTAATTAAAAGAAAACATACAGATACTTTCAAATATAACTAAAAACGATTTGTCCTGACTGATTGCTGCATTTTTTGTAAATAGTTTCGATTCCATTACAGGTGGACCTTTATCATTTTCAATTTGTATTTCAATCCGATCATTTTCCATGTCTTTTACAATTTACGAATTTTGACTTTTAATTATCATATAAATCACTGTTAAAAAGACCGAAATAAAAATCAAAATGATTTCTTTGTTTACACTTTTACATTGTTTTACATTGGCTTTGCTGCTAAGTCTAGGAAACTTGCACGCACAATTCATTATTTATGAAATTTTTTGTGCTGTTTAAATATTTATCTTTTAAGTACCACAAATATATTTTTTTTTCATCATTGCAAACTGCACACAAATAGATTGAAAATTTCAATATACATTATCCAGAATATAGATTAGAATTTACAATGGATAAGTGATTTTAGTGAATTTAAGTAACGTCTTAGGCTCCGCTCAAATGATTGATATACCAGCAACGGAGTGCAACGAAGCTCATAGTTATACGGGAAGTGAAATGGTGTGAACAAATACTTTCTTCTGATTGGTTGCAAGGACGTAAGCCTCGCTTTTTTTCCATGATATATTCCTGATTTTACCTATTTTGATACAAAATCAATTTTTTTCTGAGAATTCTATTACGTGCGATGTTGTTACGCAAAACCAGGAACGGGAGACGTGAGGAGTATCGGTATTGCATTTAGTAAATTTTTAGGATCATATATAGCGTGACATGATCAAAGCAAACGTTCGTTTGTCAAAATTTACCCAATAAAAAAATTTTTGTGTGTGCCAGGTTTGTAGTAGTTTATGGTAGGGTTAGGGTCAGGTTTAAGAATTAGAAAGGAGTAGTTTAAGAATTAGAAGGGAGTAGTTTAAGAATTAGAAGGGAGTAGTTTAGGAATTAGAAGGAAGAATTTAGGAATTAGAAGGGAGTAGTTTAGACAGTAAAATTGCCCAATGAAAACTTTTTTAGAGCACTAAAGGTGGTTCCTTATGTTGATTTTTGAGAAATGGCCCGGTATGGTATACTTATGTATCCTCTTCCTCCGGCGATTCCGGCGGCCTGGTTAGTAATTTTTGACAAATCTGATTCGTAGTTCAGGAAATCTGTGCCATACATGCGAGAATTTTGTTTATGCCACATCTCATGCTGCAAATATATAATTAAGAGAACAACAAAACAGATACATCAAAATATATGTAGAAATATTCTCACTAGTTGGCTTGAGTGTAGAAGTTCAAGTTTCTGCGCTACGGTTATGTAATTGCATTGTAAATTTAAAATATCACACCGTTTCTTATAAATTACTTGGCACGTCTTAGAGAAATTTGCATGTCACCTGGTACCCCGTTTGTTCATTATTATATCGCTATTTTATTGTCTTTTTATAAAATATGATTGATCAATGCTTTGAAATGGTAACGTTGCAAATTCAAGTATAGTTACGATATATTTGAGAATTTATTCAATATTGCTAACTTTATTCATGGCTTTCAAGAACTCAGATTACAATACTCTGAATTACGATTACAAAAACAATTATAATATGAAATATCATTTGAATGCGTGAGAATTATCTAGTAATATATGTACGTATAATAAATCAGCATTCGTAGTGTAATACGCATGCTCGTACAACTTGGCAAATTAGGAAAAATCAAGTTGCATAGAGGAAAAGCCTCGTACGCAATTTCTAACTATATAATACTGTAATAGTGCAATAAGCTCGTATCAATAATAAATAAAAAAAACTTGCATTTGTTATATTTTATCAAGTCTATTTTAAACATGGTAACTTATTAATTTTTTTTTTTATAGAATTCATGCAGTATATATGATAGACAAAACTGGTAAGATCAGGAATAAATTAATTAGAAAACGAGGCATGACTTTAAACCTGAAATGCTTATTCAAAATTTTCCTTTATAAAACGAAGTCACAAAAAAAAAAAAACGGGAAGGGCGTTGTTTCGTATCTAAATTTAAGCTCACACTGTATATAATTGGTTAATGGTTAATTTCAACTTCAGTGTTGGCAAGAACGTTTTATTTCTTAATCGAAACATTGACACGGTCGGAACGGCGAGTCAGTCGTTTCACGATCGGTATGTCGTGTAACCTACCAGTCGGCTAAGTCGATAAAAGGCGTGTTAGATTTGGCGAGTTGGTTATTTATGACCGTAGGTATTATAATGTAGCGAAGCAGGGAATTATTAGGGTCAAATTTTATTATAAGCGCGAACTACTGTTCTCGTAGGGCTCGAAGCCCTTATTATATAATGTTTTATTACTTATGCCCTCCTAAATATTTTAAACATATTATCCGTAATGTACCACTTCAATTTCCTATATTACTTAAAGTAGAGTGTCCAGGGCGCTGCTGCTTTAACTGCAAAATTCTGCTGTGATTACCGTTAGATTTGTGAATTCTGCAGCAACATATAAATAGTATTTTAAATTTTGATATATGAAAAAAGAATTTATTGTAACTTCGCAAAAATATTTATTTAATAAATATATCTATATTGAAAAACAAGATGCATTTTACTTTCATATTTTTTGAGTTTGATTGCATCCTAAACCAAAAGTCTAAAATAATATTTATTTTTATTTATGTAAGAGTTTCCGTAAAAACATTTTCTAATTAGAATTTTTTTTTTTTTTAATATTAATGGTGAGGCCATGCCTCTATCTTTATTGAATATTTAATTGAGATTTTACATA